GCTGTTACCTATGTGGGGCGGGCCTAAGCCTCCTGTGTGAAGGGGTTGCGACAGAAGATCAAGAGTTCGCCGCGACAAGGTTTTCTCTTCGCTGTGGCAAGCTAGCCTTTGGACTCATAGGTCAATGAAATTCAAGTCGATGCCGCGACGAGATTTTTTCTTTGCCACAACAAAAACTACATTTTTTAGTTTTGTTTAAACACTGCATTTTTCTATTATTGTATTAGTTCCTAGGGTTTTGACTGACTATTTAAGAGTGAGTTAGTTCATTTTGAGGGGGAGCTCGACATTTTGGGAAATAGGGAGAGGAGAAGAAGATTTTAAGAGTTGGATCTCCAAAATTAGAGAAGTTTCTTTTCCCTTTCTTGTTTTTAAGATGTTGAACTCTGTTTTTGTTATGTATTTGATGTTTATTTACGTTTTGAAAATGAGCTAACTCGTTTTTGGGTTAGGGTTTTGATGGATCTTTGTTTATAATGGTTTGATCTATAATATTTTGTTGTCTTTGAGTTCTATTGTATGGATTAATTAAGTGTTTATCTTTGTTCTTAATGCATTTGATTATTGCATTTTTGAATCAAATGAATGTTGAGCATGATGAGACTATGAAGTGATTCATGCATTAGCTTCTTGAGGTAAACACCATAGATTGAGTGAAAATTAGAGATAGATAAACGCGATCTATGAAATCTTTATGGGATTCCACGTGCTTAAGGGACTTTGAACTATTAAATTTCACTTTGTCGGGTGCAGAGGTTTAATAGAGATAAGTAGTAATTTATAGCCTGAGAAGGTATATTTTACAATCTAAAGAATCTAATTTGTAATTCGAGCATGTGAACTTGAAGATGATAGGATTAATAGGTTGAATTGGAGTAACTTAGTGAAATCGAAACCCTAACCTTTCTTCTTGAATTGATTTTTGTTATTAAATTATTTTATTGCGTTAATTTTAGTTATCTCTTTTGTTTTGTTCTAATTTAATTTTTAATAGCTCTCGGAAATCCAAATTTTTTTGTGTTCTTCAATTAGTTATAGAATTAGGAAAATCGGTACTTAGCACTCAATCTTCATGGGAACGATACTCGATTCATCACTTTATTACTTTTTACGACTAATGCACTTGCTAAATATGCATATTTGTGAAAGCACGTATCAATAGAGATCCTGATAGAAATTGTTCTTTCCTTAGGAAGAGAGAAAAAAAAATTATATATATATAAGAGAAGAGGGAGAAAATGTTTTTTTTTTTCTTTTTTTTTTTATTTGTAAGCAGAGAGATAATGTTTTGTGTCCTTTTTTTACTCCTTGACTACCACAACGTTTCGAGCCCACCAATCAAATGATTTGTTCTTTGTTTTTTATGGGGTGTGTTTGTCATTTTTTCAAATTGGTAAATTCAACATGCCCCCTAATAGTTGTAAAACTATCATTTATCCCCTAACTTATTGAAGCTCACGAGCCTGGCAAGCAGAGTGTCAGGGAGCTCAAACTCGGCTTGCTTGTTGAGTCAAGTCGCTCAAGCTTGAGCTAAGCTTGAGCTGAGCTTGAGCTTTTCCCGAGCCAAGCTTGAGTTTTTCCTGAGCGGCTCGGCTAAGAGCCTTAGCCTTAGGGTATATGTTAAGACAACCAAAATAGAAAAACACTTTCTAATTTATTTTTCTTGGATAAGGAGATAAAAATTACCACATGTTATGCTTATTGAGAAATAAAAAAAGAAAAAGATCTAGAATACCACAGTGGTATAAAAATAAAAGATCATGATCATCACAATCTTAAATTTTAACTGTAATTTCTAAATTTTTATAAAGTGACATCCAGATTACGAACAAGACGAGTAAAGTATGTTAGCACCTGAAATTCCGGGAAGAAAAAAAAACTATTACTGAAATTGTTTTAGGAACAAAAATTATCCAGAAGATAAAATGGACTAACTCAAAGAACTAAAAATTTCCAAGAAATAATACATAAAATTTATCTGAAGAACTAAAAGCGCTAAAAGTTTACAGGAAAACAAAACCTTCAATATATATACTAAGTAATAAAATTCATTGAATAAAAATCAATAAACAGCCATCAAAGAACCATAAAAGAGAAAAAGAAAGTAAACATTTCAAGTATCAAGAAAAGTGTAAAAGCCTGAAGAAGAGAGAGTAGAAGAAAGAAGTTTAAAGATTTTATTCAGAGAACTATTAATTTGTTGACCAGAGGGAGATAAAAGTGGCAAGAACAATGCGAACTTGCCATTTAAGAAAGAGCGAACAAGACTCGTTTTAGACCATTGAGATTAATACGGGAAAGATTGAAAATTAATGAAACCTAAATTAAGAAACAGTATTAAAAAAAAAAAAGTTAAATTAAATTTAGTTTTGCATGTTAATTTGGTTTATATATACGTTTGTTGTTGTGAGAATTTAAGAAGAATTATAAAACCTTAAAATGTGGGAATTTTTTAGAAAAAAAAAAAATTGAAAGAAAGATAAAGAGTGCCATGTGAAAGCCTTAATATTAGGGTTTGGATAAGAAGGTTAATTAAATTTAGTTTTAGTTAAAGTAGTTTTCCTTAAGCTAGTATTGGGTTTCTATTTATTTATTATAATTTCTCTTTCAATCTTTTATGTCAATCTCTTTCATAAATTAATGAATTTAAACCAACTATGATAAAAATATTTGATGTAATATCTTATTAAATAACCCTAAATTAAACCCTTATAATAGTAGTAGTAACATTATTATTATTATTTTAGGATATGGGAAATTTTAGAAAACTAATAGAAAGAAAGAAAGATAAGGAATACCATGAGAAAGCCTTAATCTTAGAGTTTCGATATGAAGCTATCAAGAGATGAGATTGTGATGTACGATAGACAATTTTAGTCAAATTAGTTTTCTTGTTATAATCAATTTTATTTTAGCAAGGATTTATCAGTTAACCTTATGCTAGCGCAAGTAAGATTTAACAATTTTAGCCAAATTAGTTTCTAATGAAGATTGTTAGTTTGATTATACTATATGGTATTGATACAGAATAAAAAAGAATAATATGGAGTTGTATATGATAAAATACAGCTAATAGAATTGCTTGATTCGAGCTATATATTATAAAGAAAATTAGATATTGTTTCCTTAAGAGAGAGATTTTCTTAATGAATTAGAGATACCATTTCCATACAAAAGAGATTAATTTAATTTTCAATAAAATAAGGAGATTGCAAGCTTTGTTATTGATACCGAGTTTTGCCATGTCACGATGTACATGTAATCATCGTCGTATAGTCTTAGTTGGATGCCACGTGTAACTCCAGTAAGTTGACCATAATCACTCCTCAACATATAATTTTGAAATAGTGAAGATTAATATTTCAAATTTAAGGGTTTATTTTATATACCTTTCATAAGATTGTTTTATATGAAACATACCCAAGATTTTTAGAAACTATTAAAAGCTTCTCTATATTATTGAAAATCCTCGTAGAATTAATAAAATCCCCCTCTTTGGGAGGGGGAGTGGGAAGGATTAATAGTTTCTGAAAACCTTGGGCATGCTTAAAATTAAATAATTACATAAGAGGTGTATAAATAAACCCGAAATGTTATCATTAAATATTTTCGATCCATGTGGTAATTTGATTGGAAAAGAATTGATTAGTGTTTTTTAAGTTTTTTTATCTATACATTGTATGCGTGGCCTTGATCATATAGTAAAATATGCACTCTTTGAGCTTTTCCCATGCCGAGCTTGAGCTTTTCTCGAGCCAAGCTTGTGCTTTTGCCGAGCCACTCACAAATAGCTTGGCTAACACTACTAACCTTAGGGTATATGTTAAGACAACCAAAAAGAAAAATATTTTCTAATTTATTTTTCTTGGATAAGTAGATAAAAATTGCCACCTATTGTGTTTACTAGAGAAATAAAAAAAGAAAAAGATCTAGAATACCACCGCATCATATCCATACCACTATTAAGTGATTTTGTGCCAAATATGAGTTTTTTCCGAGTTTTTCTCTCTCATCTATCTTTAACTTGAAACTTGAAAGTGATTGATAGTTATTATTACTTTACATATATATACATTAACTTGTGATATCAAGTCAACAATACCACAATAGTACTATAGACTTTCTCTATTGTCACTTTGCATATGTAATCATCCACACCACTTGTATTCACACCACTTGTGTTCGTGATGTGAAAGCCATATGGAATTACTCGAATGAGCTGACTATAATCACACCTAAGCTTATAATTTTATATAGCGAATGCCACTTGTAAGAATTATATTGTCAAGATCTATCTATCTACCAACCTTTCCATTTACCCATTTAATCAGAGTCATTTTTAGAAGTCAATTAACCTCCTAATTAAAAAAAAAAAAGAATCTTAGTCGGAAAAAATGCATTGATAAACTGCTCGAAGCATAGTAAATGAACAAAATTAATTTTCATTAAGTTTAAAAAAGAATGTATTGCTAATCTATTGCAGAAAACAAAATGACTTTTAATTAAATACGAAATTGAGGCAACACTGAATCTTCTCAATGTGACAAATGAAAATTAGTCTATATAACCAAAATAATTTTTACTGTTTAGGTTTCCTGGTAGCCTTGTTTTGCTGAGCAGAATTTGTGGTCCTGAAGGAAAGAGAAAAAATCAGTGTTATTGAGAGGCAATAAAAAAAGAAAAAAAAAAAAAACTCTATCAATTAAAACTCAAGTAAATTTTATTGATCTCTTATGAGATATGGTTTGAATCATTTGATCGTAAATAAACTATCATTTAAAAAATGGGCAAGAATTCTTGATCGAGAGGATATTTAGGTTTGTGAAAATCCCTGATAAATTTTACGAAACTTCAAAAGAAAGTTTTTGCCTATTTTTAAAACCAGTATATCAAACTGTCAATGAAATTTCTCAAAATTTATAACCTTGCTTAAAAATTAAAGAAAATAAAACAAAATAAAATTCTGATAACTAGAAATTCTGATTAGAAAGAACAACAGCCTACTTTCCAGCCTGTTTTTGATTTGCTTTGCTCTGAACTCGTCCAACCTCATTATTCAGTTGAGCCCTTGGGCTATTGATTCCGACGCATCCGACGGTACCAATTTCTTGGGGTTTCCTTCCATTATTAGAGTTCACAATGACCTCGTTTCGTCTCACAGGAGTAGTACTATCATTTCCTGGTCCTTTAGAAGTAGCAACAAGTTCGCCTTTTAGATACTTGAGCAATAACATTTATTAGCAATTCTTTTACACAAGTTTTTTATACAATTTTTAAGTCATGCGATTAATACATTTAAATGATTAAGATTGCGTTTAATTTATATCATCATTTCTAATGTGCACTGATTGTGCAAGTTAAACTAAATATCAACTAACCTTTTTTCTCTTCGATGAAAACTTTTCGATCACCAAATGTGATAGGAGAAGCCTGCAGGATGTAGGATTAATTAATTTGTATCCTTAAAGCATACGTTAAGAGATCCTACGAAGAATAAAATATAAAATTACACGATATTCTAAAGGGAAAAAAAAAAAAAAAACAGCATACCTTAAGTGCATTTTGCACGGAATTAGCAGATTCAAAAAAAAAAAAAAAAAAAACAGCATACCTTAAGTGCATTTTGCACGGAATTAGCAGATTCGAATTCTACAAAGCTGAAACAATTTGGTCGAAGCTGATGATCCAAGGAGTTAAAAAAATGTGAGTAAATTGTAAAGAAATAAATGTTTAAATAGTTGAGAAATAATTCCTTAAATTTGAAATTAATATACCTGGTTAGTTCTAACTCTGACACCATTAGCTTTAATAGGCCCGAATTTCGCAAAGACTTGTCTAACTTGATCAATTGTCACATCCAAAGGCAAATTTGCAACAAAAATAGATGCACTCTTGGCTGCAACAAATAATCAAGAAAATAAATTAATAAATTTATCATAAAAAACTAATCTAGATTAGTCTCCTGCCTCTCTAACCTGAGTCCTGTCCTTGACTGAATTGATTCTCTTAATGCATTACAATACGAGATTACTAAGTACAAAAAGATTAAAATTTGTTATGGAAACCCGGACAACATTACTGAAAATTTACATTCTGCTAATAGAAAAAAGAAAGAAAACCTGAAGGCTGGATGATGCTGCTGATACGAGGGGATGTCTTGGACGTTGCAGCTCCTTGCGACAGTTTTGAGGTGGGAGGTGGAACACGAACTTGGAATGGAGCACTATTGTCCTTCAACTTATTAACCTGGATGAATTTGTCACCAGTTAACTCTAAAAGACAAAATTTGAAAAAAAAAAAATTGTAACGTTTATTGAGAGATGGATGGTACTCACTATTGATGCAAAGGATTTCTTGGAGCCATCATCCTGGACTGTTGTCCTGGGGGAATCGGTATCGGTTACAATTTGAATTCCATTCTGAACGGTGCCTCGAGGAGAAACGTTGCCAATGACAGCTTCGACGTTATTCTGAAGCGTCTGGGGAGAATGTGTTTTACTCTGTGTTTTGGTAGAATCTGTTTTAGGGGCAGTTTGAATAGTACTATTCTTGATAGCTCTAGGAGAACTGGTTCCAGGGCCATTTTGAGCATTTTTCTGCAATTTTTTGGGAGAATCATTTCCTGTGACAGTTTGAGCATTACTCGGAAGAGTCTTGGGAGAAACCGGCAAATCGTTTCCAATGCTGACTGTTTGCACAGTCTGATTTACTACATTATTGTCTGCTTTCTGCTGTTCAGGCGCTGAAGCCTTGCCATTTTGTACTGTGTCAGTGACTAATTCCTCCTGAGTATCCTCAGATACAGATGAATGATTAGGAACTTCAGTTGGCTCTGCAAATTAATGACCCAATTTTTTTAAAACTCGGATACAATTCCTTGTTTTAAGAAATTGTTAAAAAAGTGTTATATTGAAATGTTTCCAGAACAGTTTTCTTATACAATCCTGAAGAATCTTAGAACAGTTTTAAGATGTCATAAGAAAAGGCGTCTTATTGAAATGTTTTCAACAACTGTTTTTCTATACAATCATAAAAATCTTAAAACAATTTTCAGATGTCATAAGAAAGGTGTCATACTAATATGTTTTCGACAACAGTTTTCATAGCAGTACTCTCAAAACAACTGTTTTTAGGTTCTATAAAATGACTACCAGGATGTGATGATTACCAGGATGAGAGGTAGCAGTTTCAACTTCGTTAATGGTAATGGAGATGGGCATTCCTAATGGTTGCTTTTCATCAACATACCGAAAAACATCATTTAAAACAAAGAAACCATTCTCTTGTGGGGCTAGAAAAAATGACTGAGCAAATTTTCTTTCATCGGAATCCTTTCCAATCAAATAACCAGTGACCAAAACAGTCACTCCACCGCCATAGGAACCTTGAGCATCCACAGTCACTATCTCTGTCAAATAATTCTGGTAATCCAGGACGTCTATTTGCTCACTTATTCCCTACACCAAATCAAAAAATTATTTCCCCACAAACCCAGAAAATGAAAATGAGAATCAACGTATTTCTGAATTTCGAAAACACAAAATTTAACTTCTTGAATGGCAAGAGTTATACTTACTTTAAGAGTTGTTGTGGAGACCATGACGCCGTCTGTTCCTCTAGGGCGGCTTAGAAAGCTAGATTCCTGATAAAATCTGTGAACCTGATCAGGTATTTGATGAAGAATCTTGTAGTACTGCTCCACAAAGGAGTGTCCTACCATTTTTGGATCTATCTGGGCAGAAGCTTCTGCCTCGACTGCCATGTCTGCATCAAAATTTATGCTGTCAAAACATTTATATCACATGTAATGAGAACAATCGAAAGGGAACAAATTAATTAAGCTTAGCAAAAGTTTCATATAATATTGAAAATGAGTGCATGAAAACAGAATATTACTAATAAGAGGAGCAATTCTAATTATCATAACAATCCTAATTTCTAGCTAAAGTTCCTGAAACTTTTAACGTGCAAATGAATATCAGAGAATAACTATGTATATAGCATGGATATCCAGATAATGAACTGATGATTAAGCAAACATTTGTTTTTTTCACTAAACTCTCTTACTAAAAGTTGGAAATCCAGACAATAGAACCTGAAAATTCTAGAGAAAAATTTCAGGGACATAAAATTTATTCAAAATATAAAGTAGATGAGGAACTAAAACAGCTAGAAGTTTCCAAGAAAAAAGCCCACTAAAATTCAATGAACAACACTGAAAGACGAAACATAAAAGATCATGATCATCACAATCCCAAATTTTAACTATAATTTCTGATTTTATTTTTTTTTTATTTTTTTTTTATAAAGTGAAATCTATGAACCAGACGAGCAAAGTATGTTACCACCTGAACATTCTAGAAAAAAAAAAGAAAAAAACTACTCCTGAAATTGGACAAAAATTATCCAGAAGATGAAATGGAATAACTAAAAGAATTTAAAATTTTCGAAGAAACAATACATAAAATTTATCCGAAGAACTAAAACTGCTAAAAGTTTACAAGAAATAAAACCTTCAATATATACTAAGCCGCATTAAACTAAGTAATAAAAATCATAGAATAAAAATCAATACACAGCCATGAAAGAAAAATAAAAGAGAAAAAGAAAGTAAACCTTTCTGATACCAAGAAAAGCGTAAAAGCTAGAAGAAGAAAGAAGTTTAAAGATTTTCTTCACAAAACTACTAATTTGTTGACCATAGTGAGATAAAAGTGGCAACAACAATGCGAACTCATGGTTTAAGCAAGGGCAAACACGATTCTTTTTAGACCACAGAGATTAATACGGGAAAGATTGAAAATTAATGAAACCTAAATTAAGAAAGAGTATTAGACAAAAAGTTAAATTAAATCGAATTCCGCATGTTAATGTAGTTTATATATACATTTTTTGTTATGAGAATTTAAGAAGAGTTATACAACCTTATAATGGTAGAAGTAGTAGTAACAATAATGATAATAATAGGATATGGGAATTTTTTTAGAAAAATAATTAATAAAAAAATAGAAAGAAAGATAAGGAGTGCCATGCGAAAGCCTTACTATTAGGTTTGGATAAGAAGATTAATTAAATATAGTTTTAGTTAAAGTAGTTTTCCTTAAGCTAGTTGGGTTTCTATTTATTTATTATAATTTCCTTTTCAATTTTTATGTCAATCTCTTTCATAAATTAATGAATTTAAGCCGATAAAAAATATTTGATGTAACATCTTAATAAATAACCCTAAATTAAACCCTTATCATAGTAGTAGTAGTAATAATAATAATAATAATAATAATAATAATAATAATATTATTATTATTATTATTATTATTATTATTATAGGATATGGGAAATTTTAGAAAACTAATAGAAAGAAAAAAAGATAAGGAATACCATGAGAAAGCCTTAATCTTGGAGTTTCGATATGAAGCTATCGAGACATGAGATTGTGATGTATAATCAATTTTATTTTTGCAAGGATTTATTCAGTTAACCTTATGCTAGAACAAGTAAAATTTAAAAGTTTTAGTCAAATTAGTTTCTAGTTTAAATTATGATTATTTTTTTTTTTAAATGACCGAGGGTGTCCAGACAAGCTTGTGTACACCTCGATTATAAGATATAAAATCATGTTTCTACACCACTATATTTTATAATAAATACTATACAAAAAACAATATATTTCATGTTTGGTATGCCCTACTATACTATATAATAAATACTATGTGGAATAAAAAAAAAAAAAAAAATTCACGATATAAACGTTTACCACAGTAATTGTTAAAATGAATAGAGCAAAAGATAAAAAAAATGTCCATTTTGACCATATCTACCGAATAATTAATCATGGATTAAGCTCAAAACAACATAAGAATAGAAGAAAAATCTTTCCTTCAAAAAATTCACTTGCTCCTTTCAATTATTATGTTGTTTGATCAGTTTGTGTAAACTCTCAGATTGCCCTTTTTATATTTTGAGAACATATATATGCTCTTGAATCATGAAAAAGTAATTTTAATTTGGCTTCATTGGATATAGACATAATTTCAAGTAATTTGCATCCAAGATATTAAATTTTTGCCTAATTTTCAAATTAGGGGACTATTACATAGCCAGATGGATTCGAACATGAGACTATGCGCCTTAATCACATATCCTTGCGCTCATCCTAGGACTGTAAACGAGCCGAGATGAGCCAAGCTTTTGGCTCATCTAGCTCGGCTCGTTTACTACTGTTGATGCGTGATTTTGACACCAACGAAACACACGTGTGAAATGTTGAGTTGGCCCAAAAGACACATATGAATGGAAAGGTAAAAATGACAGTAAATGCAGTAAAAAAGGAGTTTTAAAGTAGTTCGGATGCTAAGGAAGCAAGTCCTATGTCCACTGATGTTTTTATTAATGATAAGGGTCAAGTCGTTTTAGATGACTGACTTTACACTGAGAATACACGGTATCAAATGTTGTCTATTGTAGAGAGAGAGAGTGAGGTTGGTCAAGAGTCAATGTGCGAATCCCTTTAATGAGATAGGAGCTCTCAGCTTATAGTGGGATGCCTTGAGGTAATGATCACTGAATCTGTAAGTTGGTGGGATGATCCGTGCAAATCCTTCTTTATGTTACATTATCCATATTCTAGAGTAATTCACGTGATTTGCTACAGGGATTGGACACGCGGGATCATCACAGCTCCTGGCCGGCCTGGCGTGCACCCATTATTCTGACGGAAGCAAGTTGTGGGTGTAACCATGATCACACGATGCAGCTACGCCAGAATGCCAGTAAACTCTTCTCGAGGTCTGACCTTTCGTACTTAACTGGGCGCCACATCAGCCCTATTTTCCTAGGCATAATAGAAGTCCCCTAGTTTTTAATGTTTGAGAATCGAACCTTGGAAACTACAAGTCATGCCGCAATTGGATGATTCCGGGAAATTCTGGAAATTCTAGTGATTCAGACCTGTTTGAAAGTAGGTCGGGACGACACTTTTTTGAGCACAACCTCGCATGTTCATTGTTTGCAGGGGACGAGCGACCTGATTTCGTCAGACATCACCTGTTGTTCTTTTGATATGGGTGCATTTAATGAAGCAGTCCCTACGCTGACAGATGTGCCCTGTGCGTGATAAGTGCTAGCTAGATGGATTAAATGCGTTGTACGCTGACACAGTACGCCTTATCAGGACATTAAATGCATTATACGTTGGAATGACGCCCCTTATAAGAGCATTAAATGTAGATTTGAGACGCAATTAATGCTCTAAGAAAGAGAGATGGCCATCGTTTCAGCTTTTCAACGGGAAAGATGAAGGTTTGACTTTATCCAGTCATGACGCTCACTTTTCCCCGCTGATGTGTGACATATGGCCGTGATCAACGATGAGAAACCTTTGCCGCTTAAATGCCGTTTCGATTCCAAGAAATCTAAACGCCGATTCATACGCTATAAGAACCTCGAGTCTTTCTCAGGCAATGTCACTAGAGCCTTTTTTCTTAGAGAGTAAACGATTTTCTCAAACCTGGAACCTCTACCTTTCAAACCAGCATTTTTCCAATATTCGAAGCGGAAGCTATTCTCATACTCCGAGAGGTAAGAGTTTCTCTCTATTTTTATTTCATTATTTTCCATGGTTAAATGGCATTTGTCTTCCGGTAGCCCATCGGCGACGAGATGCTTAGGTCGGGTTCGAGCCATGAATGGCGGCCCGAATCATGCCGTTAGGGTTTCCTTTGGGATTTAGGGAGTTTGTTTTCTCCCACGTCATCGTACGAAATAGCGTACAGTGGCTAAATAACCCTTCTGCTTGTCGCTTTTACAGACAAGCAAAATGGACTACTCAACAACCAAATCCGAACAGGGAATCGGTTCATCCCCACAGGGTGCTCCAAGTATCCCTATTGAGGTCTTCTTGATACTTACCGGGGATGAGCTCGAGAGGGTAATAAAATAGTACGGTATCGAGGTGGACGCTTTCCTCGACATGGCACACTCATCACGATACCCGCTAAGTGGTCTAGCCGTGGTCTCCGAGGAGATCATCAAGGGTGGGGGACTGATCCCTTTCCACCCTTTCATCAAGTCGCTTTTGGACCACTTCGGGGTCGCATCGATGCAGCTGACTCTGAACGCGTACGTCATTGCTGTTGCAATGTACATTGCGTGCCACGAGAACTGGCTGGGTGAGCTGACTGCGACGGAGGTCGGTTGCTCATATTTTTTGAAAAAGAGCAAGGACAAGGACTCTTACTACTTGTCCAGGTGACTTACTATCGCCGAGGGGATACATAGTTACCCGAGCAACGCGGGGGCCTATGAAACGAACTTTTTCTTCTTTCATTATGACGGCCATTGCCGCTTCCAGGAACCGAGTAGGGCTTTTTTTTTTTTTTTTGACAAATTCATTACACTTGAAATGTGCTCTTTCTAACGACCTAATCCTTTTCTAATAGTTAACAAGACGACCGACTTAGGGCAGCTCTTTGATAAAAGTAGGATTGTGCATTTCGGCTCCCTACCTGAGGACAAGCGCGCGCGACGCGAAGAAACTCGTGATGACCGCGAATTTGCGAAAATACGATTTCTTCAACGCAAACGCGTCGTTAGAGCCCCCACTGAGTAAGTCCTACTAACTGGTCCTTTTCTAGTCTTGAAATGAGATATCTTTGCTAATGATGCTTTGCATGTAGAGACCATGCCTCTGAAGGAGTCAGAGCAGTCGTGACGAAGGCCGCTTAATTTCCCTCGGACAAGAAAAGCCAAAGCGATTGATGTTGC